CAGTGGAACCTGGATGCAACGAAGGGCCACGGGACTGAAAAAATTTGTTCGCAATAACGAGGTTTCGTTATATCGAGGTTCTTTTTCATAATTTTACTATTACTAGGGTAAAGAAAATCGCTCGTTATACCGAGGACTTCGTTATGTAGAGGTTCGTTATATCGAGGTTCCACTGTACCTATATGGCTTCTATAAAGGAGTACACCCCTCCCCCCCGGGAACGGGAACTCAGCGCAATTTCTGTTTATTCCATTTTGGGGAAAAAAGCATGGCCGTTTCTTGTACATTAATCAACAAAGATACCACAGTACGTGTGGCTACCAAGAGTGACTTCTACAATTAAGGTAATTGTGGCGGCTCTTAGTTCAGTGCAGCTTTGATTCAAAGGAAGAACACCCGTAGCACTAGTCATGATCAAGCGCGTCGTCAACGTGACTTTTTCCTAAGCTTTATGAGAATTATGAGAATTATGAACATGCGTAATTAACTCATTAAAATTCCGTCTAGATAACCAACGACAGTTCGTTAGGCTAACAGGAAGCGTTTCGCCAAGGATTTTCAATCAAGGGATGAATTCAAGGTCAGGAACCCCGGATACGAAATCGTAAAAGGATTCAGTTTTCAGATTCTTATTTTTTGTTCCTGATCGTGATTTGCCAAGTAATAATGTAATATTAGAATATTATTATTATTATTATTATTATTATTATTATTATTATTATTATTATTATTATTATTATTAATACCCTACCCTTGCACAAAGGAGATGTATTGAGTATCTCGTTGGATGGTAAAGAGCACCTTGGCCCGTTTACCCTTGTTCCTACCAATGATGCTTCAGCACCGCGAGTCTGGAATCCTCTCTCCGCCTGGATAAACTCATCAATATCATTCAAATCAGCTTCCAAGAAATTCATCGGGGATTCTTTGAAAATATTGCTAGCCTCAAATGCAAAATGAATTCCAAACTTCGAGATGACGTCTCTAAAAGACAAATCAAACAGCTCCAGTTGCTGCTACGATCATTTAACTCCCACCTCTCTTCAGAAGCACATTAAAAACCTCAACATCCTGTTAAATAACAAAACCTCTGACAGATTTTTCGCCTGAATACACTGCAAAACAAAAGAATTGCATTCCTTTCTATTGTTCTGCAGAAAGTTTTATAGATGATAAGCTTCTCAGGTGGCACCAACGTCATCTAATCAGTTATCTTTAAATTCTAATGCCAAGTTGATTGAACGCTTACAGTCCGAGGCAGGTCAAGCGTACCCTCCCCGATAAGATTCTATTAATGAATTGATTATTTAAAAAACGAATCCGAGTCGTTCCCGTACCTGTTTTCAAATTCAAACCATGGGTATTAAAAATGAGCTGTGAATATTTTACGAGAACTTCTCTGATCTGTATTTGGTCAAACTGGAAATCTTTGAATGGATTAAATCTCTTAGATGACATTTACACCACAATTCAGGGAAACTGAGCTGGTAGAAATTTCGTAACTGCCTCGCGTGTGAATTCATGGTTCATTACGCATGCAAGAACTTGGCAGAGAAGAATCTGATCATGAAATCTACAACTACCAAAGGACGATATAAACTTTCGAATATTAATAAATTCATTAATGGTATCTATTCGCAACCCCAGTGCTTACGGGTTTGGGAATGCGCACGTAAGCTCTGGGAAACTCTGCGCCGCTGTAGCCAAAATCTGGCTATTTGGGCCTCACATAGCCTACCCGCAGACGTCCTTTGGGGCTCGTTTGTCACGCATTCATAATGAATGGGAGGCTAGGCCTCACAGCGTATGTTCTTTGATCCAACCAAAACTTTTTGCTTCTTTTAGATCTACTTCATCTCGAAAGTCTTGTACTGCTTCGGAATTAGAACTGATTAAGCCCTTGAAGAATTTCCAGGTATCCAAGGCTCTTCTGGTGGTGTATGATATTTGCAGACTGCAGACTGCAGACTACAGACTGTAGACTGCATGAGGCAGCAAGACTGTTTATTGAATGAAACCAAAAATATCGTAATAAAGGTGGCGTCATCATCAACATTATTTTGTTCCGAGAAGTAAGGTCTAGAAGCGAAGTTTATGTTTTTCACGCAAATTACACCGACCTCATTCCTAAAGGAGCTGTTGGCTGTTCTTTTCTTATCAATTACAGCAGAATAATGTCTGCCGATGTCACAAACTTGCTCATGAATCCATAGCAACAGTCTAGCAATTTAGCCTACACCACAGACGAAATTAAACTATGGTTATATGTCTGTCTGTGAAATAGCGCCGGAACGCCTTATTCTACGGGGGCCCAACCTGTGTACTAGGACTTGAGTATGAGCAATGATTTGCCTATTTAGAAATTCAAAATACACTTAATAATAATAATAATAATAATAATAATAATAATAATAATAATAATAATAATAATAATCCATTTATATAGCGCCTTTTCTACAAGATTCAAAGGTGCTGTTTACAAAAAATTAGATAGAACTGAAAAGTAAAAACAATCACAAGAAATTGACATTAAAACTAGACGCTAACTACAAAATAGATAAATCTACACAATAGATAAAACATCAGATAACAAATAAAAACGTCACGATTCATAAGCTAGCATATAAAGAAATGCTCTAAGTTTGCGTTTAAAATCATCAATTGAGTTTGCAGATTTAATATCCTCAGGTAAGTTATTCCAAAGTTCCGGAGCAGCAACAGAAAGAGCTCGTTTACCATACGAATTGAGATTAAAATAGGGTTTAACTAATAAATTTGGCTGGGTGTATACAATTGAAGGAGTTCCTGTATGTAGATTGGAGCTCGATCATGTAGTACTTTGTGAGTAATTAACATAATTTTAAATTCAATACGAAAGGAGACAGGGAGCCAGTGAAGATCCCTCAGGACTGGAGTAATATGGCAAACTTGTCTTGGACACTGGTTGACAAGGCGAGCAGCAGAATTTTGAACATGTTGAAGCTTCCGAAGAAGATAGGATGGTAGGCCGTACAATAAAGAATTACAATAATCAAGTTTAGAAACTACGAAGGTATGAATAATGATCTTGGCAGCATCATAAGTAAGATATTTGCGTATGAAACCAATGTTACGAAGATGGAAAAAGGACGATTGACAGACTGCATTGACATGAGGTACCATACAAAGGGACTGATCAAAGATAACTCCAATATTGCGTGCACTGGGGGAGCAGGATACAGTCTCATTACATATATCAACAGAAGATAGTGGTGGCCGAGGTCGATAGGAAGAGGATATTACGAGAACTTCGGACTTGTCTTTATTTAATTTCAGCTTGTTGGAAAGCATCCATGCGTCCATGTCCCGAACACAGTTTACCAATTTGGCGTTACTCAGATTCATATCAGAGACAGACGACGTCCTGAACGTAATATATAGCTGAGTGTCATCAGCATAAAAGTGATAGAACATTTGATGACGTCGAGCAATCTCGCCAAGAGGGGATGTGTACATTGAATATAACAACGGGCCAAGAACGGATCCCTGCGGTACACCAAACTCAAGAACATGAGAAGCAGAGCACGCACCATTAACCTGCACAAACTGTGTACGATCAGAAAGATATGATCGAAACCATTCCAATACAGTTCCAGTAATTCCAAAGCGATTGGACAGTCGCGAAAGGAGGATACCATGATCAACAGTATCAAATGCAGCCGAAAGATCGAGAAGTACTAGGATAACTGAATTATGTTGATCTATTGCCATGGCTATGTCATTGTGGACTCTAATAAGAGCCGTCTCTGTACTTCTGGTAATTCGTCGAGTCCAGGTAGGATCTGTTCGTTTTATATTATTTGGCATATCCCTAAATACTGCTAAGATGAAATACGTCATTTAAAAGGTGTTAAATGTCCTTGATCTATCCAAGTTGTTTTTGTCGACGTAACTGTAGTAAGCACGAAGTGCTCCCAATCTAAAAACTTTTTTTACAGAGGACCACTATTTAGACAGGCATTAGTGGGCATTGCCTCTTGTCAATATCAATTCCCAATAATCAAAGAAGAATAAAGAATCAACGCAATAAGTTATATGCCGGGTGAGTTGAGAAAGGGTCGAAGAAGAATAGCCAACAGCATCTTGGGAATGAGGCCAATGTAACTTTGCGCAAAAATATCAACCTTGTTCCCAGGCTACTTTCTCACTTTCACACGATTTTATACTTTTTGATGACGTCACCTTTGTTAGGAAGATTTTTTATCTCATTTAATTTACAATCTGCAATCTGTGATCTGCAGTCTGCAGTCTGCAGTCTGCAAATGTCATACACTGTGATTACCGTAATCACCGAGACGAAGTCGACATGACTATATTCGCCGATATTCACGTCGCCTAAGGCGACTAATTGTTTTAGTATAATTACATCGATGATTATTCGAGAAAATATAATTATTGATCAATTTCCGACACCGAAACATCAACAAATGTGGCTGGCATTTTGAAAACTGCCAGCCTTCAAGGGTATAATCGGCCCCGCGCGGTGATTATAGCGGGATGAAGCGAAGCTCCTAGCCAATCATAGCGTTCTATTTTCGATAATAATCAATGTAATTATACTAAAAGTAGATAAGGCAACTAAGTTAATTTAGAATTTATTTAGTATTGGGATAAACAATGACTGAAGAAGGTATTCTTGAATAGTTTTTTTAGTAGACCTAGAGCAGATGGAAAGGGGAAGATCGTTCCAAAAATATCGTTCAATAATAGTGGGAGAGAACTTTCTAATGTTTGTTCTGTCAAAGAGAATATGTATAATTGTTTTGAAGAGACATTTCGAGTAGTATAGCTATGTTGTTCTAAAAAAACTGGTATTATAAGATTGAAGGGTCCTAAATCATTGAAGATATCAAACTGTTACATATACCTGCAGCATGAAAAAGGTCCCCCTATTCGCGCGGAGCCTCCCCTTATGGGCCATCCTAGGGACTACCCTCGGGATAATATTATTACAAACTGTCCTAAAACCTAGAAAATGGTCCTGTGCAATTGAATTCATTCATTTTAGCTGCTGAGGAGTGCTTGTCTTTAACAACGGCAAATAGATGAGTTGTAAAATAGCACATCGTGACTGCAGTCAAAATAAGACCCACAAGCATATGTTTCCGCCATCTTCTCTTCCAGACTCGCACAACCGCAAAGTTCAAATAGGACATTTGTAACCAAAACGAGAACGAATTAAAAACAAAGTCAATACTTAGCGCTATAGAGACGCGAATAAAAAACTGCGCCAGGTCGGTAAACGAAGGTGTGTTGTTGTTGTACATGAAGCTGTACAACTGAATGAAACCGACCGCTGCGATCAAAGCTGTTGATTCACCAAGAATCATCTGAATACTCATATCAGCAATAAAGCGCATACTTCTTGGTGTGCGAAATTTGTCGGCCCTCAAGATCGTAACGTCTCTCTTGAGTTTTTTGTAAATAAAGTACCACAGGTAATCGCGAAACACGATGGTGGCCCTTTCAAGCAGATCCACAGAGCCGTGGGCAAAGCTCAGTGCTATAAATAGTCGTAGACTCGTTAGTTCGGCTTGCATGACTCGAAAAACGATCGCGGAAGCCACGTACAAGACGCTTAGCAGCACGTGCGATTCTCCAGGATGAAGAAAGTCGATTCTTTGCGCAGCTAAACGTACTATGACTTTTGGAACGGCAGTTACCAGAGGAAGAGCTCCAGCAATGACGGCTCTGTTGGTCTCGTTCTGACTGTGATACAAAGGAATAAGCACATAAACAAGAATAAAAGCTATCGGTATTCCAAAGGCTAACTGAGCTGCAAGCATGGCTGAGACTTTGATAGTTTTCTTCAGTGTTCTTGATCTATCAACTACGCTGTTCTTGGCGATTTCTCGCCCAACAAGAACCGAGTTCGAGACGACAATGATCAGAAAGAGCGCATTCAGAGGAAAGGACATCCACGACTTTTCGTAAATGCCAAAAACCTGCAGGTACAGCCTGTAGCACGTGTCACAAAACGCACCAAGAAGGTTAAGAATCAAAAGATTGAGTTTCTTCACTAACCGCCAACCAAACATCGTGATTATCAGCAGAAATGTCCACATCTGTACCACATAGGCCTCGACTGTTTCTGCAGTGACTATAATGGCTTGAATATTCCGAGGGAGCGTGTGCCAATTCCCGTGAAGTTGTCTATCGAAACACAGATCGACGGAGTTGAAATCCAGGACTAGGATCAAAATAGCGAGTGAACCGAGAGCCAGTCCGCCGAGAATCTGGATATAAAAGATGCATTTCATGGCCTTCCACAGCGACTTCCACCAAACTGAAGGTCGCGATTTTTTCCACGCCATTTTACTGTCATTCTGCAAAGGTGGATCGTATTCTTGGAAAATCAAATCATCGCTGTTGAACTTTTTAAAGTCCTCCAGTGGATCTTGTTGTTGAATCAATGGTGCGTCTTCAAGAAATCCCTGACCCTGATAAGACTGTATCACGCCAGCAGAAAATGACTCCGACAGATACGCAAACATGCCTTCGAGGCTAGTTGACGCCATGGTCGCCGAGAGAACTCACTGTCGTGGCTAAAGGGACACACACAAAAGGATGATATCCTATCACATCAGGAACCAAAGGAAGGGGAGAGCTAGCAATGAAAGTTCTAAAACAGGCACCAAGCGGCCGAGCTCCGCTAAGTGGTTAAGATGTTTTCTTGACCAAATATTACGAAGCCACATGTGCGCTAATAATAATAAATTTGCGTCATTCCAAAGCCAATTTTGACCTTTTAAAGTGTTTTATCGAATTCCAGACGATAGGGAACAATTTCTCTTCAGTGTCATCATATGCACTTCAAGGAAAATTATTTGAACCTGCATCAAGCTATAAACCTGCAATGACCGAATCTTGGAATGTTTAATATGTAGTTTTTTAACAATATAGCCTATCCCATATTCGCCTTGTGGGTCACGCAAGATTTCTAGCTTGCGA